CCTTAAACCTAATCTTCTTTTCAATCTGCTTGAAAAGTGGCCTACCCTCCAAAAATGGGGAGGAGCATGTTTGGGTATATTTTACATACATTATTGTCATTTCCTCAGTTTAATTTATAACCCCTCCCTGGGTAATCTCATCCTTTATCACCTCCTAAATTTATGACTCCAGCCCAAACCTCTCTTCAGAGTTCCAGATCCATATTTTCAACTGCTTACTTAACATCTACACTTGGATGTCTCAGAGGCACTTCAAACTCAAATGTCCTAAATTGAATATATCTCTTTATCTGATTTTCCTCCATTGTTCTATATCTCAGTGAATAGAGTCACCAGATCCTTGTTCAAACCAGAAATGTGTAAATCATTCTAGACTTTTTCTTCTTACTTACCCCACTTAGCCAATTCATGGTCAAGTAATGCTGATTTTATCTCCTAAATCTATCGCAAAGATATCCATTTCTTCTTTCTCCTGAATCACTGCCATAGCCTTTCTGCTGGCCTCCCTGCAACCTCTTTTGCCTTTTTTCAATCCATCCTCTATATTGTTGCCAGTGTTCTCTTCTCTACACTTAAATTAAAGTAAAAAGTCTATAGCACTGCCCACAAAGGCCTGCATGTTCTGGTCCCTGTCAACCTTTGCAGGCTCCTGAAGACTTCTCTCCCTCACTCACTGTGTTTCTTCAAGTGTCAAGTTTATTTGATCTCAGAATCTTTACATATGCCATTATCTCTATGGCATGTTTGCCTTACTCTCTCCTTTTACTCATTCACCAGACTTTAGAGCATATATATATATGATAATATGATGTATATCATGATATATATATAGTAATGTCTTCTCTGCCACTTTAAGCCAGGTTAGGAAGCATCCCGTCCACTTTATAAGTGCCCAAGCACTTTATACTTCTTTATAACACAGTATTCTTGCAATTATGTGGTTGGTGTTATCCATCCTAGTAGGCTATAACCTTCACCAGGACATAGACTATGTGCTAAAGAAATGTTTACTGAATGAATGAATGAATGAATGAATTTCTGTTTTGTCGTTTTTGCCAGATTGTAAACTTTTTGATTGCAAACTTTAGATTCCTGCAGAGCCTAGCCCAGTACATTGTGTAATCTGCCTCTTTTATTCTCCTCCACATATATGTTTGATTTAATCAATAGATACTTGGTGTCAAAATGAATTGGAACACCTGGAATTGCTCAAGTTATTCTTCAAAATCTCCTCACTTATATTTATTATGTGTATTTCCTTTTTCTACTTCACATGTGTTCCATATTTTGTCTCCTTCAACAGTTCATTCTTTGTGGCTACAGGACACTTTTTTTTAGTTGGTAATTCTTTCCTTTTTTAATGTCATAGCATTTATTCTAGAGGACAAATGGAATTGCTGTGTATACTCAAGGCATCACATAATTTTAAAGAACAACATTATCTTTACCTAAGATGAGGTGTTCTCATTTCTGGGAGGCAAGGGGAGAGATAACAATCATGCATATGAAGAATTTGCATTGACTGTGAACATTAAATCCAATGATCAGATGATTGGGATTTGCATTGTGGGTGATAATTCATCCATATTACTGCCTATTCCCTTCATTTATGTAAATTAAAGCTGCAGGGTTTGCCTTTGTGCAAACTTTCCCTCAGTCTGCGAATGTGTCTTGCCACATTACATAATTATTTGAAGCGATAGCAGAATTGTATTAATTTGTTTTGAATTATTGGACTCAAGGAGTTAATCACCCACAGAGCTCAATTGTTGTTTGCAGAACTTGGAGTGTTATAGAATGAATAGCTCCGAAATATCTCTTCAGTGTTCAGAAAGAAAAGCATGGTGGAATGAGTATTAAAACGGGAGTCCAAAACCTTACAGTGTAATCTTGACTCTGCCTCTGTGTAACCACGAATGCCTCACAAATCTCTCTGTACCTGTTTTTTCTTTTGTCAAGCAGACTTCATGTTATCTCCACTCACTACTCACAGGGTTACTGTGAGGATCAAATGAAGAAAGTACAAAATGGAAACTACATTAAAAAAAAAAATCTGGCCAGGCTTGGTGGCTCACGCCTGTAATCCCAGCACTTTGGGAGGTTGAGGTGGGTGGATCACTTGAGCCCAGGAGTTCGAGACCACCCTGGCCAACATGGCGAAACCTTGTCTCTACTAAAAATACCGGAAAAAAAAAAAAATTAGCACGCGCCTGTAGTCCCAGCTACTTGGGAGGTTGAGGTGAGAGGATCACCTGATCCTGGGAAGATGAGGCTGCAGTGATCCATGATCGGGCCATTGTACTGCAGCCTGGGTGATTGGAGTGAGACCCTGTCTCAAAAAAAAAAAAAAAATCCTATCAGCAGAGGAATGTGGAAAGCTATTGGCACTTTAGATACCTTATCTCAATCTTCCCTCAGGTCACTCTTATGGACAGCTGGAAGGTATTCAATTTTTTTCACAACTTACTACTGAACAAACAAATGCACCAATCACTTTACAAGTGGAGAGAGAATCAAAGAGAGAATAAGAAAAAATAATGAGACCTCAAAATTATAAAAGTCCCACAAATGTGCAGTCGTTACAATTTATAGTGGGATGAAGAGACTAATGTCATTCTCTTTACATTCTTCAGACAATAGATATGTGTTATCATTAAACCAGTCACCATTTATTGTCCAGGGATCAAAAATGACATGCTAAATATTAATGCAAATATATTTCCATTTTTATACAATATGAATCTATTTCAAACATTAATGATTTCAAACAAAAGAAACTCAATTTTTTATTCCACACAATTCTTCATTTTGTTAAAAAAAAAGTTCTTTTGTACAAGCACAAGTGAATAAAATGTATTACTAAATATAACCATTGAAATGTATTAAAATGGATCCCTTATACCTACTTAGTAAGTATGGTGGGATCTGCAGCAGTCAAACTCACTTGTGAGTCTAAAGCTTCAGATTTGGCATGGATGGAAAGGTTAGGCTGGATGAATTCATCTTTACTTGATTAACCTTAATATTTCCTGCTTAATACATAATACATAATACATAAGCCTTTTACAATATACTTTGTTTTATACAACCCATGATTCTGAAATGTATGCAAAATATCTTTTAAAAAATTGGATTCTTTTAAAACATATTAGGAGAATTTACTATTTACAGAATTAATATGGTGAGTCTTTGTATTAGGTTGAATTTTATGAAATTGGTGATATTTGAGCATTTTTTGGCCTATAAAATGGCAATTTCATATGGTTCAGCTAATAAAAAGTGAAGAATTGTTCTTTTCATCTTAAAACAGAGTACACACACATATAAATAACCTACCTGTTTATATACTGGCTAATGTGCAATTTTGGAGGGAGTGGGGGTGGGGGAAGGCAATCCAAGTCAGCATTTTGAACAGAAGAATAAACTCAAATTGTGCCCTCTGGTTACTCTAGCTGCCTTTCTGAGCAGTAATATATGTTAATACATTGGGGAATAAATATAATGTAAAAATTCTTTTCTTTACAGTAAGTTTGCTACAATAAAAACATTCAGTTTATTTTCCTAAAGATTAAATACCATGTGAGTCATTATAATGACACATCTGCTTAAAAGCATTTCCATTTGTATTGTCACTGGAAATTGGGTGGGGGGTGTTATGCTGCTATTTTGGTATAAACTGTGCTGTGTGCTTTGGTTAATGCTCAATGACGATCTGGATCCCCATGGGGTAGTTGTGATGAAAGAAGGTGGTGGTTTTCCATGTGAGTAACCTAATCATAAATTAGAAAGCTTCATCCAAGTCAGTGCTTAAAAAGCAGTTTTATTCTCCTGAAATTTGGGTTAGGGAGGTCAGATGGGCAGAGAATAGATTTTCAGTCTGTATCTGTATTAGATTCAGCAACAAGGTATTTCGTATCTTGCTATTCACTGCTGTTGAGAGTATAATCAGTTCCTTCATTTATCCAGCCACTGACTTCTCAACTGTAAAGTGCATTCAAATACTGTGGGCACAAAACGGAGAACCTGGAATGAGGGAAGATGTGTGTTCTTAAGAAGTTCTGGGGAGGAGGGGGGCGGTATTGGCAGTCTTGATGAAGTCCATGTTTGGCTACCAAAGCTCAAATTTTAAAGGGTCCACTGAATTTGGGTGTTGAATAAACACACAACTTAAGACCATCAAGGTGTAATAATGTGAGTCACTTTGAGTTTGGAAAAATACATGCCCTATCCAAGTCTTAGCCCATCTGCTAATTTGTTTTGAATGGTGCAGAATGCAGCTCCCATCTCTGACAGTGCACAGTTGGGTAACAGGTGTGGCAGAGTCAGCCTTACTGCTAAATTTAGCTCTGCATGTGGGGATTTCACACTTGCAGCCCCTTGGAGAGAGGAGCATTGACAAATGACTGTATAAAAGTGGAAAGCACTTGGGAATTTCACTACCAACTTAGATTTAGATCAGAGAAAAAGGGCCAATCTAAATTGGTTACAGACTACAAAGAGCTACATTTCTGGTGGGGGTGGCATTAATCTAACATCTATTTGATTTCTCTCTTACCATCATTACAGTTCCTGAGAGAGTACTCTCTGAAATTTGATGAGCCCCCCCCTTCAGGTGCAAGTGATAACTTATTTTTTGTTTTAGCAAGTAGAATTTAACACAGGTGTACTCATCCTTTGGTGGGAAGAATATGACCAGTTTTTTAAATTCTAATTTGTAAATGGTACTCATCTCCTTTGGTTTCCCTTTGAAAAGTTAGTTTTAAAAATTAAATTCTCTCCACACTACTGGCATACTAGGGCTACTTATGAGAACGGAATTTTTCAAAATATAATTCTCTTATAGATAATAAGTGAAACACTTCATCTTTTGGCAGGGATCAGGAAGGGAGGAACATTTTCTGGGAAATACAAATGAGACATTTGAGGACATTGATCTCAATAAGGATTTGTTGGAGGATGTTGTTTAGTCCTTTCCTCCTTTGTCTTTTTTTTTTTTTAAAAAATACTCAGATCTAAAGAGTATAGTGATGACTAAATAGCTCTCTAACCATTTTTCAGCACAAAAACCCTGGGACTCAGAAGGCTTGAATGTTTTGTCCAAAGCCACACTCAACAACAGAATACCAAAATCATTTCATTTCTGCTCTAAAGTACAGTTGAGTCTTGTTTGCAAAGGCACCTTTTAAACAAAGCTCATATTTGTGTGCAACTCTATCCTAGAGTGTGATAGGGAGAAAGAAAAAGACAAAGAAGCTGCATGAATAGAATTAACATAGTTATAATATGCACATTTTTCTCTCTCTAGATGAGTTTGTTTACTAGAAACTTCTTTCTGAAAACTTACTCTTTAAACTGAAACACTTTCTTTAAATCTCTTCTTTCATTTGAAACAAACCGAATTGCCTAAGATGATCAAATCACTGCTGTTTAGGGAAAGGACTCGTGGTCCCTTCCATTAACTTCTGACATAATTTAACTTCGTGTAGAGGTGATTCTTTAGGATCAAAACACTAAATTAGAACTTGTCCTTTTCTTGGGATATCCTCTTTGAAGGATCAACCCTTTCAAAAGCAAATCTTCTTTGTTTTTGGAGCTTCCAGGGACCCTGTGTTTCTTACAACCACTGCGTATGAATTTCTGTGGTCTGAGGTTTGTGCAAGGCCCATGCACTGTTTGGTTACTATGGAAACCAGCCCTCCCAACCAGCTGTCATTTCCTATATTCCTTTCAGAGTGAGTCTTAAACGTTTTAGATAGTCCACAAGCAGAGTAAAGATGAAGAATAACACAAAGAAAACATGAACAGCTTGTTGTTAAATGAACAACTTGTGGATTCCCTACATGGGAAGCTTCATGTAAGAAAGCAAGCTCTCCTGGACATCTATATATAAGGGTTTACCCAGATCCACTAAAGCTCACCTTCATCCTGGCTTTAAGGAGTGGGGATTCGACTCTGCATCTCTACATCTGTGAACTGAGGAACACTTTCTGTGCTGTCCGAGTTGATGGGCGAGATGACATGTTTGAGCCGAAGGAGCATTGTGAAGAGCAGGATGAGGAGAATGGCCAGGAGGCTCAGGAATAAGCCCACATACATGTACAGGTTGGAATACTTGTCTGAAGAAGTATCAACCTCTGTTGCCAGAGTGGGAAAATGGGCACGCCCAGTGAGATTTCCATGGTATTTAAAATGCGCCTCCATCATCACTCAAGACTTGAGTTGGTATGTGTTTCTCTTTGATTTCTATTGCCCTTGAGGCATTTCACAGTCACTTAGACTGTCTCTAAATCTATTGGACGTGTTCTAACAATCCGGTAAAAACAAATCACTCTCAGAGCTAAGGTAATAGCACACAAGCAGAAAATGGTGATGCTATGATTTGACAATTGAGACACCCTCTCTATCCTTCAGCACAGCAATCACCCCTCCAATAGGTTTTATCAGAGCTTCTTAATCAATTTTCAAAAATATAAGTAATGCTTTATTTTCCACACTCCTACTTTTATACTGATTAAAATAAATATGGCTGAAACTGCTTTATAATACTGTTATTAGAACAAGAATCTTTTATAGTATTATGTCAGTCTTTTGCTCTGTTTTGGTAGATGGATAAAGGGCTCGTTTTGCCTATACCTAATCTAGATGTGTGGACTAATTATGTGGACCTAATTGGGCTCTTCCTTGAGGAAACTATCTGAAGGCTTTTGTATATATCAGGCTCAGCATATCTGAGTTTTCCTCCCGTTTGTCTATATTTCTGAACCTTCCCTAAGGATGGAGATTATAAGGTTCCTGCCCAGCTGCACAGCTTGTAAGTCTAGAAAATGTGAGTTTTCTGTAGCTTTGTTGACATCCCTCACTGTAGGCTGGACGGAAAGTGTTGTGAGACCTGGTAATTCTCAGGTAAGAGAGGTCTCAGAGACGCTGACAGCAGTAGGCCCAGGCTCAGGAGATTTGGCTCTTCAGATTCTCCAACAGAAATTGATTTTCCTGAAAATCAAAAACAAAAATAAAGATTCGGTTATCTCTAAGAAAAACAAATGGCAATGTATTTTGAAATAAAAATAAATTGATAAATTGCAAAATGGTTTACTATATGCAAACCAATTTTAGAATGCTTCTTCTTCTGTGTAGAAGATAGCTTTTAAAAGGTTAAAGAAAAAAAATCAGATCACTAAACGGCAGCTAATAACTAACCTAGATTAGAACAATGTTTTCTAAACCGACTGATCATAAGATTTACTTGGGGGTACTTATTAATATACAGATCCTGGGCCCAAATCTAGACTTCCTGAATCATAATCTCCACAGTAGGGGCCTGGGCACCACTCTAGAGATTCAGACTTTATTGGTCTGGGATGAGACCGAAGCACTACTATTTAAAAAAAAAATAGCCACCCATATTCAAAGTTCATGTTTAGAATGCCAAGTTAAATCATTTTGGAAGACTGCAGCAGTAAATAGTTGACCCTATTTACATGGTGGAATGCTTTTGCCAACAAAAAGAAGGTTCTATCTTTACCAATGATGAAGGATGCATTTATTTGCTTGGAATAGGCACACCCTCTCAATTCCTTCTGGGTCTACAAACATTGGGGAAAAATGTCTATTTTTACCCCACATATCTAAATAAGAGAGATAGAAGAAAAGCAATAAAGTCTTTTCCAAGTAACTTCAAAGTGCAGCCAGGACTAAGAACCATTGATCTAGTTGAACCAGGAAAGCCTAGCACTGAAACAAAGGAATCCTAATTTTAAGGAATTGTTTTTCAATCTCCAGATCCCAGTGACAATTGTTACTTTAATGAATCAGGGGAATGTTCAGGAATGCAGGCTTCCCCTAATTTTGTTTTTGGTCTATCTCTCTCATTTAGATCTGTAGGGTGGAAATAGACATTTCCCCCCAATAGTTGTACACCAGAAGGAATTGAGAGAGTATGCCTATTCTGAGCAAATAAATGCATTGCATGCTTTATCATTGGTAAAGCTAGAACTTTCTTTTTATTGGCAAAAACATTCCACTGTGTAAATACGGTCAACTATTTACTGCTGAAGCCTTCCAAAATGATTTAACTTACCATTCTAAACATGAATTTTGAATGTGGGTGGCTAAAATAAATGATATAAACAACCATCACCTGTCACACTTCTATGTACTATAGTAGATTGCTAACAGTGTAGCCTAGTTTTGTCTGTTGTTAACATACCCAAGGAGAGTTCGTAGAACTAGCTCCAACAGTCACATTATTTTTCCTATCATCTTGAATTTTGCCCCCAGCCTGAGAACACTTCAGCTTAAAGTTTGTATTCCCTAGCCCACGTTACTATACTTTCTATAATCCATATTTTTCTTAGTCTGCCTACTTACTGTTCCTATTGCCCACACTTGATTCATAAGAAACAAGAACAGAGAGACAGAGAGAGAGAGAGAGAGAGAGAGAGAATATCTTTCCACTGTATTTGGAGCAGTGGTCTAGGAAACATTTTTCTATCCTTGCAAGTACAGCTATTTTGATTTTTGATTAGCTGGGATCAAGGCCCAGAAATATGCATACTAAACACAAGCTTCTCAAGTGTTTCTTTGCATACTGAGCTTTGAGAGTTAATTATTGTTTTTTCTCTCTAGATAGCCCAGCTAAAGAATACAGCTAATCTATCTTATTGGTTGTTTGGAGGCTCTACTTTTAAAAGCATTTAAAACAATGTTATGGGTTGAATAGTGTCACCCCCCAAAAAATGGTGAAGTCCTAACCCCCAGTAACTGTGAATGTAACCTTATTTGGAAATAAGACCTTGTAGATGTAATCAAGTCAATATATTAGGTTGGCCCTAATCTAATGACTGGTGTCCTCACAAGAAGAGGAGAAGACAGAGGCATACAAGGAGAAGATAGAGGTAGAGATTAGAGTGATGTATCTACCAGCCAAGGAATGCTGAAGATTGCCAGCAAATACCAGAGGCTCGAAGTGGCAAGGAAGGAGTCTACCCTACAGATTTCAGAGAGTGCATGGCCCTACTGATACCATGATTCCAGACTTCTATACTCCAGGCCTGAAAGAATAAATTTCTGTTGTTTTAAGCCACCTAGCTTATATAATTTTTTTATGGCAGTTTTAGGAAGCAAATACATAGAGCAGTCACCCTGAAACCCTAGTGTTTTGGAACCTTTGGGGTAATGTTTCTCAGAGTGGTCAAGGGAAGTCCCTTAACCAGAATCACCTACAGGGTGTTTATTATGAATAAAAACATGGACCCTTTCTCAGAGCCTTTCCCTTGTTTCTTAGATTAGAATCTCTGGGGACAGTATCCTGGAATCAATGTTTGAAACAAGTTACCCACTTGTTTCTAAGCACATTCTTCAGGGAATGCTTTTCAGTCCTTGCTGTACTTTAGTATTACTTAGTATGCTTTTTGAAAATATATATAACTGGGTCTTTTCTTCAGGGTTTCTGATTCAGTAGCTCTGTATGGGGCATGAACATCTGTATTGCTTAAAAGCTCCACAGGTGATTTTGATATGCAGCCAGGGCTGAAAAACATCAGTCTACAAATAGAACACAGCACTTCAAATCAGGACTCTAACAGTCCCAGACAGCCCACACAGCTCAACTGCTTCACTACATATTCAAGTGCTTCACGTATAGGTTGTCAGTCTGACTGGCCTTCCTCCTCACCACTTCTCCCAGCAGCTCCTTTTCTTAAGAATGGTAGTAACCTAGAGATAAGAGCTTAATGGATTTTTCATCCATGTATCTCCTAAGTTACTTTTTTACCTGCCTTCCAGAAAAGAAGGGTAAGGAAAAATGAACACTCACTGCTAGTGCAAGCCAAATGGGAGAAACCTCTATACTATCATAGTATCTTTATACTCCCTTTGAACCCCAAGTACACAGAATCAGGTAAGTCATACTCTTTGGTTTATGGTACATTGTCATCATTGGTAAATTTGAGCACTTTTTTATTCACTTATTTAATAATATATTGAACACTCATGGACAAACAGCTGTGGGCAAACATCTAGCAACTTTAAGATTGAGAATGACTAATAATTTACATGACATCCACCTATGCTCTTCCCATCTCATCCTCTTACCTATCCTTCTCCAGAAATAACCAATAACCAATATTCTGAAATTTGTGACTCTTACCTTCCTTTTATTTACACACACACACACACACACACACACACACCCCTATGCCTAAACAATGTTAGTATTATTTGTTTTGAACTTTATAAAAAGAATGCCAAACTGTGTGTAATCTTCAACTTGCTATTTTATTCTATATTTTATTACTATATGCTTTATTTATAACTAGTCTAGTGGAATGAAAAAGGAAAAAGAAATAAAATGTGGAAGTCCGCATGTTGCCTTTGGATTTTACTCCATTCTCCTTAGCTTGACATTTAAGGCTGTCAATGCTCTGGCCCTGGCTTACCTTAATTCCTTCCATTACCCTCTTTCCAATAAAACTGTAATGTTCACTCTTACCTACTTCCCTGCTTCCATATTTTTGTTTGACCAGTTTCTTCTATCTTCACACATCTCTGGGTGAGGAAATAATACAGTTCTTTAAGATTCAGTTCATGAAGCTGATCTTGACTTTCCACCCTAACCCTAATTTCCACAATGCTTTGTATTTCTCCTAGAGGAATTAAATTTGACAAATATTGCAGATATCTATTTGATATGTTTTCTTCTAAATTCTAGTTTACAAAATTCTTGAGGATCCTTTTCAGCAGTCTATCCCTTATACAGCTTTGCTTGCAGTAGCTGCTCAAGAATTATTGAATAAATGCATGGGTATGATGAAGAAATGTACCTAATATTTAGAGTTCGAAGAGAAGCATGGTCTTATCTCTGATCCGATTGCTAATATAGCTTGGAGAAGAACATAAATTTCTCTTTTCTTTTTATTCCTTTCCTCCACTGTTCAATTTCTTACTGGAGAATAATTCCAGATTATAATCTAGAGTTAAGAAATTATCACCTTGTTAGAAACTCTGTTGATGAAGTGCTATTTCACGTACAAGATTTTAAAGGAAAACTATATGGGATGGGTTAAATTTTAAATTTAAGTTTTAGAAAGTTCACTTGTGTCTACAGATAATTTTCAATAATAATTGATAGTTCATTTTCTGCCTCCTATGCAATTGACCCTGAATCTTCCTTAGGTCTGAATACTTATTCAATATTTATTAGAATTCTATGAAGCTTGGAGAAGCTTAGAGAACAATGATCTCAGCTACAGTTGTCAATTTCTTTAAACATTTCCTTTGAAATTTTGGAAAACTAACTAATCACATATTTCTTAAAGCCTCTATAGTCTTCAGGAGACCAAACAGTCTGGTCAATTCAGGGAGGTTTATCAATTTAATTCCTTAAGGACTTTGAAATGAATAAATGCAATGTTTAGATATTGGGAAATCCTCTTTTTCGTTACTCTGGTTCTATATCTGTGACTACTTCTCATAAAAGCTTTTCAAACAGGATTGTCATGGCTCTCTTTGCTAACTAATTAATGAGTTGCACAGATAATATGATTGCTCTGTTAAAAGCTCTGCACCATTTGGAAAGAAAAACAACCATGCAATTTCAAAAAGAATTCAAATTCTCTTAATTCTGAAGGATATGATTTTTTGTGGAAAGAATTATTTTAGTATCCTGCAGTTCTTTCTGGAAAGCTCATACAATAAAAATCAGTTTCTAGTCTTTGTAAAAGTGATTGAAAGCTGTTGAGGGATAAGGAGGAGGGTGAGGAATGGAAAAGGGGGTAAGGAATTCGGGAAAGAAAGAAAGGAAGATAGAGGAAGAGGGAAGGGAGAGAGGAGGAAAAGAAAGAAATGTGAGAAATGAGTAAAGACTATGAGGGATGTGGGATGGAGACAAGATGGGGCAGGAAATGAGTGATTATGGGGGGGGGCGAAGGAAGGGAAGGAGGTAATATTGAGAAAGAATGGAGGAAAAAAAGAGGACGAGAAGTTTGGGGGAAAGGGAAAAGAGGAAGTGTTTAATTTAATAACTGGCCAATGTCCAATATTAACTTGTGCCTCTGGTTTACTTCAATTCTAATGTAAATCAAAATACTCACAAGTGACATAAATGCACCTTTGGTTTTCTGATTGTATATTTTGTCATTCATTTGGTAAATAAAATCTTAGTAAAAAAAAAAAGTCTTCTGTTTTTAGTATAAACATTGAAATGTCAAATTCTCACTAATTTTTGACATTAGCATAGTATATATAACCTCACAGGAGCAAAATAACATACACTCCTAGATCATGAAATAACATACACTCCTAGATCATGAATTTTGCTCCCCAGAATGATAAGGGAATAGCTGTTTGCATCAATCAAACCCGAGAGCAATTCCTTGAGTGAAACTTATTTGTAACAAGAGTAACCAAGTTCTGCACAGGTCTCCAAAATCAGATTAACATTTCTTTGGTAAACATTTATTGAGTGCCAATCAAGTTCCAGACACTTTTTTAGGTGCTGGAGATATAAAATAAGAGTACCCTGATCTCTATTTGGTTCTCAGGGTGCTCCTAGTAGTTACTTTTATTTTCTTTAACATGATAAGGTTCTGGGAACACCCCACTGGTAATTTTACATTTTTCTACATGACACCTGCCTATATAATTCCAGAGCTGAAATCTCACCAAGTACTTAAGGAAAATGTTCAGTGGAACAATTCAGAAAAGAAATTAAAAACTATGAACTGCTATCAGCTTTTAAGAGTTAATACATTCTATTTATATTTATCTTCCTAGCTGGGGAGAAAAAACTAAGAGAGATAAGTGTATCGAGTTCCACATCACCCTATGAAAAAACGATTCCAGCAGCAAATGCTTCTTCAGTGGCTGGAGCCATTAAGTAATAAGCTTGCTCAAGTAGGAGTTGCTGTATCTTCTGCAGCAGATGGTGCCTATTTGTCACACCTGCCGATAAATAAAATAATGCCTCTCACCTCACCGGGAATAACATCATATTTCCAAATATCTCTTACCTCTCCTGGCCCACAGTATGAATAGGATGGGTCACTTAAGTATCCCTTTTGAAGCTTTCACCAACAGGTAAGTTGTTCAGGAACATCCCTGGAACAGCTGGAAAATAGAACGAAAGCCTTGTTTTGCCAAAGAAGCAGGACTATGTTCATGCAAAGTATGGTTTCTCTTTCATCTTCTAAAGAGTAATCCCTTTGCAGAAAAACAGAAAAACACCTTCTATTACTTAAAATGTTACTTAAAATGCCAGTTACCACTTACAGCTTCAGAGTGCAGCTTCAGATGCCTGCTCCTTATAAGCTCTGAAAAGCAAAGAGAAGTCTGTTTGGATGTGTGTGTGCCCTCTGGAACATTTGAATGAAAGCAGCCTGAATTAGTCTAAGTCCCCAGTTCCTCTTTCGCAGGCAACAGTTTAGAGTATGCGGGAAAGGTAGTGATTCAGCTCTGCTCTGTCTCAGCGGTGTGGAGAGGGAGGAGATAAGAGAGGCTGAGAAGCAAAGTTTGTATAAGCTTTCTACTTTAACCCCTTCGAGGCTTCCTCATAAATCTGTAAGACTAGCTGAGGCTCCCTATCTTTATAAAAGCTGCTTCATATGTCATTTAAGAGGATCAAATCTCTAGCTAAATTCAAGAGGTTTTTCATCCTGGGTCTTACAGTAATACATGCTTAGAATTGAAACCAAACATTCCAGGATGTGATAGTGCTTAAATAATTCCATCTTTACAAACAGAATATTTGCATGTTATATTTCTAGGTTTGAAAAGGATTTTTTAGGCACCAACTTAATACATTTGATTTAAATATTTTGTGGAAATTTAACATCAGCCTGATTTTTTGGTTGGGGTTCTAAGATTAAAGTAGAACATTTTCTAAGCAGTCATATCTAGCCAGGGTATATATTCCACTATAAGTTATTCATCCATTTGTAGTCAAAGGCCCTTATCATCTTTTATATATTGTGGCAGGAGGAAGGAGATTAACATTTCTTGAGTGCCTACTCTATATTAAACATTTAACATAAAGAACTTAATTTAATCCTCACAACAGCCCTGTGATTTGGGTATTATGATCCTCATTTTACAAATGGGGAACCTGAGACTTAGAGAGAAAGTATATCATGTAGTTTAGTAAGCCTAGAGCTAGCACTGGAAAACAAGGCCATGTGATCCCAAAATCTCTGCTCTTTTCTCTGTAGCAGTGTTTCTTAACCTTTGTGGATCTTGGATTCCTTTGAGAGTCTAAGGAAAGCTACAGACCTTCCCCTTCCTCAGAAATAGGGATAAAATTTCTGTGCTCCACGGCCTCCAGGTTAAGAACAGCTGAATGTCCCCATGTTACTTCTCCAATATTATACCATCATTAGTGCATTGTTCATCCAACAACACATGATCGTAAACAATTTTTATTATGGTATCAATAATCACAATAGTATTGGTTATAGTGTCATGCCAATCTTTAAGAAATTACTGCAGTGATTTTCACTTTATTCCCAAATTCTCCTTAACAATTCTCGTATATTACATCTGTCCATTTCCCTCATTCCAGTGGTTAAAATGAGTTGAGGCTGTCCTTGAAATCCTTGCCTTACCAGCATATTCCAGTACCTTCTTTCTCAAACTGAGGAATATGCTGGCACTTCTCAAACTAGAGTAGTATGCTCAAGAAAGTACAGGACAAACATAGTGTATTGTCCTAGATGATTAAATTTACTTGAATATTTAGACAAGGAGAACATAGATAGTTTAAGTGATAATTTTAAACATAGCTTATATGATAATAAACATATAGAATAGAATGCAAATTTATGCATTTTATGATCAAGCATGAGATTTCAGAGAAATTTTGCACTTGTGGTAGGGCCTTTTTGGGTCACCCAGACTTCCCCAGGGATACGTGTTGACTCTCCTCTGCCATTCGGGACTTTTGGATGAAAAAGTTCAAAGATCATGGTGTAGTAGAAAGATGAGGGACTTTGAAATCATAATGACCTGGGTTTTCACCTTAGCTTTGATCTATATTTTCTGGATTACCTTAAGAAGGTCAATTAATTTCTCTGAGGCTCAGTTTTCACCTATAAAAGAGGGAAAATTATAAAAAGGGGGTTAGATGAGAAAATCTCTCTAAAGCATATGCTACAGATGTTCAACAAATCTTAATGTTGTTGCTTCAAATTGGTAGATATCAATAGATGATGAGGCTATGTGAATCTAACCAGAGGTTTCACCATGGATAATTTACCTTTTCTTACCTAATTAGAAAAAATAAGCCTTATTTAACATAATATTAAATTCGAGTTTCCAGGAAGACATGATAAATGACCAACAATAGTTGGGAATTCCAAAGCCAAGCCATCATATACAAAATTTACAATGGAAATGCTCCAGAAGAGGTTCCAAGAAATAAAAGGGAGTCAGATTGTGAAAGGGAGTGGGAAGGGAAATTTGTGAAAATGTTTCTTTACCCAGAGCTGTTGCTAGGCCAAGACTCCACTTCACCTTCCAAAACGAGTAGAAGCCTAGTGGGTATTTCACTGGATCACTCACAGAGCTTGACATTTATTCCCTGTGGTAGAAGGGGAGCAAATTGGAACTGTACTCCTTTCTGAGAAAGCTAATGTGGCCCTTGGCAGGAGAACACGATTGACTGTGTCGAGATTGGCCTTCATTCCCAGAGTTTGTTAGAGCAGGGTATGTTTGATTTTTTCCTAGGAACCAAATGGGGGTCATGCAAGAAAGAGAGCCAGGGTAGGGTCATCCTGAACCCTTTTCAATATGGCCATCTGCAGTGGAGAAAGGACCCCATCAACAGGAAGCTGAAGACAATTTCTGGATTCCCAGAGGCTGAGGAAAGAGTTGTTAACTACCAACCTAAACAAAAATGCATCAACCCAGGCCTCCCAAATTACAGGAGAGGGGTCTTCTGTGATGGAGGTCTTTGAAGAACCCACAGAAGAGCCAAAGACCCAGAGAGTGGGAAGCCATTCCACCAAGGAAGAAATGACCAATCCCTTACCTCTCTTCCCTACTCCTATTTCCACCCTGGTGAGGATCCAAATAGAAACTGGCAAGTGGAGAGAGAAAGAAGAAAACCTATCACTCTTCCTTTTCCAAAGGCATTTAGCCACCACTACAGGTCTTAGCATGGGCTTAGTGGGAAACAAAGCCTCACCATTGAGTGAAGATTGAGAAAGTTGAGTAATATCTTGGATGGAATACATTCTAATTACTAAATCAAGGTTGTGTTTTGTGACTTAGAGTGACCTATGGACGGTTTATTTTTGAAGAAGTGAGCAGAAAATCATGTGCTCTATCCAAACTTCCATCTATGGCTAGGAAAAGGTTACCTCAATGGGGTACATTTTATTGGAACATGGGGAGACAAAATAAAGTTGTGTTTTGATTCTATGATAAATAATACTGTAGAAAATACTGGTTGTACTAACTAATTCATCCCTTCAACAAGCATGTGATTCCTTTCATGCGTCAGACATTGTGCTAGGAATAGGACATACAGTGAAATAAAACATAGTTCTTGCACTCAAATTACTTATGATATATGGCAGGGGTCAGCAAATTTTTCTCTAAAGAGCCAGATAATAAATATTTTAGGCATTAAGGGACACATACAATCTCAATTGCATATTCTACTTATTTTTGTAACTAACCTTTTAAAAATGCAAAAACCATTCTTATTTTGAAGGCTGTACTAAAAGAGGCCATGGGTCAGATTTGGCCTGTGCACTCTAATTGCTGGCTCCTAAATGATCGAAGTAACAAATTTTTATAAACCACCAATTACCATACATTTATTATGATTGAAGATGTGTTTAGGGCACTTGGGGGAGGAGACACAGAAGAGCATTTGCTAATTCTGACTGGGAAATCAGGGTTTCCAGGAAGAGGCAGTGTTGATTTGAAACCTGAAGGATGAGTAAGAATTAATCAGAGTTAGAGGAGGTGAGTGGTAAGCTGCCTCTACAGAGGCACCAAAGCTTGAGAGCTTGGTTTACTTAAGAAACTACAAAAGGGGAAAACTGAACCTTAGAGAGGTTAAGTATTTTTCTGAAGGTCACACAACTAGTAAGTGATGGAGCCTAACCTCTTAACTCAGGTATGTCTTACTCCAAACCTGTCCTGTTAGCCACTGTTATCATATTCCTGCCCTAGTATTGAAGCTATGTCTAAGGTCTACTTCTAGTATCTACAAATCAGCAGCTGTGCTTGGCTCATTTCTAATTTCCCTGGGGGTAAAAATGACAAAGTTCTAAAAGGGCTTGCAGACCATATTTTTAAATAAGACAGTGAATCAATAATGTTGGGTTGTCTAAATTAGAACTTGAATTTTCCTTTTCAAAAATAACCCCCTGCCCCAATAAAACCTAGTACACATTGTTCAAATAATCTGCTTGTTTCATCCTTGCAGAAGAGTTTTTTTTTTTTTTTTTTTCTTTTTTTCTTTTTTTCCTGGTAGCTAAGCTCTGGCACTGCTATAATGTAATTTCTTACCTTCTCATTATAGATGCAGACATTTATAAGGAATGGCAACATCTGGCTTAGACTATATCCTATGATTGATCCAAATACTGTTCCCATCTTCATCATTCACATTGATGACCTTGGGCGAGTGAGTTCACTCAGCACGGATGAACCTGTCAATGTTGTGTACATTGCTTGGTGGATTTTTACTGAGGTAGTATAGTTTAAAAAGCTAGATTAACCATGCAGCAACTACTCTCTGAACAATACTGCCATTAAAGATTGCCATGTACTCTTGGAGTCAGCAAGAATAGGGATTGAAATGAGGAGAAACAGGGAATGAGAATAGCCCAACTCGCTGTTGCTGGACTTCCAGTGGTCAGTGGTTCTTAACCATAGTTGTACTTTTCACTCAGGGGGCTCTTTCAAAACACAGAGTATTGGCCCTATCCCAGACCTTCTGCAGAGCTGAGGCCTGAGAATATGTATTTTTAACAAGCTCTCCAGTTTAAGAATCTTAAGAACCACTACCCTGAGGGAACAAATAGACAGGTATCTAATGAACTGACTGTACTAAATAACATACCAGACACTCTTGGACTATGCACAGAAATTCTACTTAAGAAATAAATATACACAAGCCAGGCACGGTGGCTCATGCCTGTAATCCCAGCACTTTGGGAGGCTGAGGTGGGTGGATCATCTGAGGTCAGGAGTTCAAGGCCAGCCTGGTCAACATTGTGAAACCTTGTCTTTACTGAAAATACAAAAATTAGCTGGGCGTGGTGGTGCACGCCTGTAGTCCCAGCTACTGGAGGCTGAGGCAGGAGAATCGCTTGAACCCAGGAGGTGGAGGTTGCAGAGAGCTGAGAGTGAAACTCTGTTAAACAAAAAAAAAAAAAAAGAAAAGAAAAAGGAAAGCATATATTCAAGTTTATTGTTCTAACGTTTCAGTGTGTTACACTGTAAAATGGGTTT